AAGGGAACCAGTAATGATAGAGAATATCCATCAATACCTTTACCACAATCATGATGAAAATTTGGTACTCAATCCTCCCATGCTATCACCAGAGTTGATGGATCTCTTGTGCCATAGGTTCGTAAGACAGACAACCTCCCTACCATAAGCTGTTTTCTCGAACGATGGAATCAAGATGGTTCTAGACATAAAAATGAGAACCTTTGCTAACAGACCAATCAAATACATCGAGTACACCGTGGAACGAGCCCATGGGCAGGTCAACGTCTTCAATGACAATGACTTGATCAATCTCAATCCATGGGACTTGATTGATCTATATGGACACACAGGTCAGTGACAGGATCAAGGGATCAGATTTGGGATGGAAAATCAAGCGATTGTACAAGCAACGGAGACCTTGGTTAACTACAGAGCAAAGAGCGACTTTCAAATCGCTCTTGAACTCGGCATTGAAAGACTCTCCTACACTTCTTCAGACGAAGACTTTCCAGGCCTACAGAAGAAGAGATCTGCCTCAGTCTTGACTCAACCAGAGCTCGGATTGGTGTTCAAAAACGAGTTTGGTGTGAAGAAATTCTTTAGACTGACTGAGGCCTTCAAGTATTCAACCACAAGACTTGAATGGTTTCAGAATGTCATCAGGGATAGATTGAGCAGACCTCACGTGCGGATGAGAGAGGGTCAATAACTCATTCATGATATCTCCACAATCATCTGATACAGAGGACTGATGATGAGTTTTTGGAAGGTATCTCAAGAAGACCATGAATGAAGTATTTTATGTAATTTCTTTTTTATTCCACCACTTATGTAAGAATTCATCCAACACCTACTCTAATGAAAAAATTTGTCAAAGGATGTTTTTCTTTTAGCTTAGCCTCTGTCTTTCACTTATCTTTTGAATGTTCATAGATTAGCAAATGTTTTGTCTTTTCATAACTTAGGGGGAGATTGTTAGACCCCATAACTCCTATTTGTAAAAGTAACAAAAAACAATTGTGAAGGATCAGAAGGCCGATGGAAGACTTTCAGGAAAAAGCACTAAGTGTCCAATACAACCAGAACACCGATTAACGACTAGAGATGCGATGAATTGTGCATCTTCATAACCCTTCTGGTTACCAACACTTAGAGTCTTCCACATCAGTTCAACCAAAGGCATCCGATGAAGATGATATCAAGACTTGGTTGAACATCGCTCCATAGATCATCTCCAACTGGATTCTCAAAGATTTACTTTGTTTTTATTTACTTTCCATGTCTAGATAAGTTTTCCTTTTCGTAAGAGATTTGCATAATATCTTCCATAGATAGCAATCTCATTATTTAGCTTTCTAGTATAAATAGGTGTTAGGTCTCTTGTAATCGGTTACGCTTCTCACACAATCATTTGGAATAAAGTGAATCTTCCGACACTCAAAGTATATTCCTGAATATTCATAATTGTTCTTGAGTGTTCTTCATTTTATTCATCCACAAGACATATTTAGGTTATTCATAACTTGAATATTAGTGTTATTGAGAGATCTAGGATCAACACTGATCATTGTTGAATATTATTGTGCTGCAATGCTAAAGGGAGAGTGAATATGAAGATTCTTTCTTTAAAGAAGTTTACTATTTCTTAAAAGGGGAGATCATTCAAAAGTTGAATTCTTATCAGATTAAATGGAAGATAAAATCTTCCAGTGCTGATCAAAAAGAGGAGATTATCTGAAAATTTGTTCTTTTAAGGGGAAGTTATTTGGGGGAGATTATTAAAGATGAAGATCGGTAAATGCTTTGAATGTCATATTTTGAAGAATCAAAATTTCTAAAGTTTTATGAAGATGTTGTTGTTTGGACTTGAATCCAAAGGGGGAGATTGTTGGAACAAAAATGTTGTATTCAAGTCCCGGAGCTTAAATAGTTTTAAAAACTTTGTAATTGTTAGTTTGTTGTTATTTCTTTTTATAGAAGGTCGGTTGACTTTCTAGTTTTAGGGTGCTGCTATAAATAAGAGCAGAAGTTTAGTTAGTTTTGAGAGTTAATAAGCGGTTAGACATCATTTTAATAGATTCAATTCAAGTGTACATTGAGATTGTATCAAGAACACCATACTCATCAATTTTACGAAATACAAGCTTGCCGACATATTGAAATCTCCATGTTGTTCTTGATCATTGAATGAATTGTTAAATTAAAATTGAATCTGGGATCACAGATTGGCATTAGGGGAAGCATGTATAGTGTCCATGAAGACTGTTGGTCCTTTCCCTAGGGATTCTCTCATTAGAGCACCCAGCCTTTGTTTGTCTATAAAGTTTAGAAATCTGTCTTTCCACTAAGGGTAGTCACCCCTAAACAGAACTGAAGGTTTTGTATTTGAACCTATTGACATGGCTTCTCTTAACGACATTGTTATAAACTATCAAATGATCATAGATCAACTGGTCAAACTAAATCAGAAATTAAACTTAGAATTCAAAAGACAACAAGTTTGTTGCACCAAACTATTTATCGGAAAAACTTTTTATCACATCACACTTGAAAACTTTATCGCGCCCTAAAACTTTGTCACGTATAACTACTTGTCACACCTAGAACTTGTCGCATCCAACTTGTCGCACCCAAACTTGTCGCATTCAGCAGGACTGGAATAGTAACTTATCACATTAAGCGGATGGGATAACCAGAAGTTGTTGGGTGCTGAGCATGCGAGGAACCAAGGTTGTTGGGTATTAAGGATGCGATGACTTATTGTTCTCAGGTCTTAAAGAAGCGAGGAACCAAGTTGTCGAATCTTAAGGATGTGATGGCTTAGTGTTCTTTGGTCTTAAAGATGTGAGGAACCAAGTTTTTGATTCTTATGGATGTGAGAACTTGATGTTGTCAGGTCTTTATGATGCGATAACAATAACTTGTTGTATGTAACTAATGTGATGCTAATAACTAGAGGAATGTGACAACTAAGGAGATCTGGAAATTTTCCAACAGATTTCGATATTTTGCTTACAACCAATCCAAATTCTTTTAATTTTGGATATGTAGGAGAAAATCAAAGCCAAATAACACTAATTCTCGAGAAACTCCTAGAATTGAATAAAAGAATATCAAGATTCGAACTTTAAGAACTCACAGTCAATAAATGGACAATTTGTTTTTGAAACAACCGTCCATGGTTGATCTTTTGCTCTAATACCAATTGATGCACCCAGATTGATGTAAAGAACAATGATTAATCACACAAAGAAGTATTTATCTCAAGAAGTCGGTTGTCTATTGATTGGAAATTGTGAATACATAGAGTAAATGTCAAAGTACGGTTACAAAGATTTTGCAATGATTAGTTAACCTAAACATGAAAAATAGGAAACTATTTAAACTTTTTAAGGTTTTGTTTTTGTATTTAAGCCCATCTACTTTAATATGGCTAAATCATTCTAGTCGGTTCTTTATGGATACTTTTTGGGACCGCGTCTTCCATTTCCAATTGTGCTGCATGCGGTTAAAAATGCTTGGGGCAAGTTTGGGCTTATGGATGCAATGGTAAACGACCTTGGTTACTTCTTTTTTTGATTTAATGATAATGGTGGTTGCAATCAAGTGGTTGAATCGTCTCCCCTCATGATTCGTGGGAGGCCTCTTTTTGTCTCCACATGGGATCCTTCAAAGGGGCTTACTAAACCTGAACATACCTCCTGTCTGTTATGGATTAAGTTCTATAATATTCCTCTGGTTGCTTTTAATAGAGAGGGTATTAGCCGAATTGCTAGTGCAGTTGGAGTCCATTTGCGTTTGGATGCTTGTACTGCTAGTACTTGTGATAAAGCATGGGGTCGTACTAATTTTGCTAAAGTTTTGGTGGATGTTTGGGCCATGGGTGCAATTCAGAAGCAAATTGAAGTTGTCATTCCAAGGCTTTCGGGTGATGGTGAAGATGTGATAAAGGTAGTTTTGGAATATGATTGGGTGCCGTCTCAATGTTCGAAATGCAAAGTTTTTGGCCATAATACGAATTCATGTCTGAAAGGGGGTACTCAAAACTATGGCGAGATTGTCAAGCCGCTGCATAATGATGGATTTATAAAGAAAAAGAGTAAACAATGGAAGCCGAAACAGAGTTCAGGGTCTAGTAATGGTGCTCAGGCTACTTCTTCAGGTGATCCTTCTAATTTTCACGAAACAATAGTTGGAGTTGGTACTATAAAGCTGATTTCTGATGAACCGTCTACATTGGGAGTGAATAAAAAGGATAAGGAAGTAGTTCAGTCGGTCGATTCAGATCTCTCAATTGGGGAACGTAGGGAACATGATGAAAGTCAATATTGTACGGTGGATGCGGGGAGAACGCCAAGAGGAAAGGATGATGTATCGAATGTGACTTTTCGATCAAAGCAGGGTCCATAACTTGTTAAAGGGGTGATTCAAGCGATGAAACCAAGACGTGGTGCAGTCTCTTCTATGTCTACTAGTAATAGATTTTCCCCACTACCTTCAGATGACTCTAGTGATGATGATGATGATATGGAAATAATTGACACTGAGGGGCACTCTTTGGATTATAGTAAAGGGGTAAAATCCACTTCCATCTCTCAATGATAAAGGTCGCTACGTGGAATATTAGGGGACTAAATGCCCTAACAAAGCAAAAGGAGGTACGTGATCTTATTAATTTAAAGCATCTTTCCTTATGTTGTATCATTGAATCCAAAGTTGTATATAGTCATATGGGGGATGTGTGTGGTAAAGTGTTTGGAAATTGGTGTTGGATCTCGAATGGGRGTTTGTGTGATCAARGGACTCGTATTATTATTGCTTGGGATCCGACAGTGTTATCTATTCTTATGATTGAGCAGCACCAACAATATGTCCATTGTGAGATTAGGATTTTTGGGCAACTTGATCCTATTTTTATTACTTTTGTTTATGGGTGTAATACGGGTATGGATAGGCGTGAGCTTTGGCGGGCGTTTGGTGAATTTCATGTGTTTAATCAAAGGAAAGCATAGGTTGCGATGGGTGATTTTAATTCAATGCTTTTCCCTCATGATGGGTTGGGGGGTTCCTCTAGGCGAAATTCTGACATGGAGGAGTTTCATCTCTGTCTGGAAGAGGCAGAATTATTTGACATTTCGTATCAAGGTTGCCAATTTACTTGGATACAGAAACCTTCGGGGGGAGATGGTGTTATGCGCAAACTTGATCGTATCCTGGGCAAWTCTGCTTTTATCACTAGATTTGGGGATGCTTCGGTWTTCTTTGAACCAAGGGGGATATCTGATCACTCTCYGGGTATTCTTTCTTTTAAAGTTGGTAGACGTCTTTGCCAACGTGGCTTTAAGTTTGATAATTTTGTGACTTCTCATAAGGATTTCCTTGCTTCTGTGGAGGAGGTGTGGACGAAACCTCATAGAGGATCTTATATGAAGAGGGTGCTTCGGAAATTGCAAGCTCTGAAGGTGGTTTGTCGGCGTCTACGAAATTCGTATGGTTGTTTGGATAAAAGGGTTGTTCAGTTAAAGACGGAACTTGATGTCGCTTAATTGGCTTGTGATCTAGACCCGTTTAATGACCTGCTGAAGGAGGACATTGCTCACCTATTGTTAGCATATCAAAAAGCTAAAAATGATCAAGTGGAAATGGCTCGTTAGAAAGCGAAGATATCTTGGCTCAATGAAGGGGATGGTAACTCTAAATTCTTTTTTCATGCTATGAAAGAAAAGCGCAATCGGAGCCATATTGCTACTATAAGGGATTCTTCTGGTACAGTTTATGATCATMAGGAGGTATYTACAGMGTTCCTTWCCCATTTTMAARGTATTCTAGGTACCTCTAATGCTTTGGTTCCTCCCTCTATGGGGGATTGTGTGTTTGGTCATTCTTTATCGTTATCGGATTCTCTTCACTTAATCCGYCCTATTTYGGATATGGAAATAAAGGATGCTTTATTTGCCATTGGGAATGAAAAGGCACCTGGCCYTGATGGGTATTCTTCTAAATTCTTTAAAGCAGCTTGGAATGTGGTTGGTAGGGAGGTTCTCATTGGGATACATAATTTTTTCTATTCTGGAACTTTGGAGTATCAGCTGAACCATACTCTTCTTTGTCTTGTGCCAAAGGTTCCTAATGCTTCTTGTGTTACTGATTATCGGCCAATTGCATGTTGTAATGTGTTACTGAAGTGTATTAGTAAGGTTATTGCCGACCGGATGAAAGGATCGCTGGATGTTCTTGTTAGCAAGGCCCAATCTGCGTTCATTCCTGGGTGCCATATCACTGATAATATCTTAATGGCGCATGAACTGGTTGCTGTATATCAGCGTTCTGAAGGGGAACCAAAATGTGCTTTCAAGATTGATATTCGTAATGCTTATGACACGGTTGATTGGCAGTTTCTTTTAGAGATGCTGAAGGGAATGGGTTTTCATCCAGTCATGATTAACTGGATAAAGACCCTGATCACTTCATCCTCTTATTTTGTTTGTGTTAATGGACAGCCGGAGGGTTTTTTTCATGGTAAATGGGGCCTTCGTCAAGGAGATCCTCTCTCCCCTTATCTGTTTACTGTTGTTATGGAGGGTCTCTCAATGCTTCTTTCGAAGTGTATTGAGGAGGAGGCAAATTTCTCGTATCATCAAGGTTGTGAGGATATTAAGTTGACTCATCTATGCTTTGCTGATGATTTGTTTATTTTCTCAAAGGGGGACATTATTTCTGTGGAAGTCATCAAACGTGGCCTTCTTTTGTTTGAAGAACGTTCGGGATTGTCGCCAAGTCTGGAAAAAAGTGAGGTGTTTTTCGGGAATGTCGCAATGGAGGTTCAAACTCTTATACGTRATAGKTTATCYTTTCGGCCAGGGGTTTTCCCTATTCGGTACTTGGGAGTTCCTCTTTCTCCGGTTCGTCTGAAGGTACGTGATTTTAATCCCCTTGTGTTAAAGCTTAAATCTCAACTTTTAAACTGGAAGAATAAATTCCTCTCCTATGGAGGACATCGACAACTTATTCTCTCAGTGCTTCACTCAATGCAAACTTATTGGATGTCGGTATTTCTTGTACCGGCAACCACAATCCATGAAATTGAGCAGCTTTTTCGTAATTTCTTATGGAATAAAGCAGAGGGTCAGATGGGTAAATGTCGAGTTGCTTGGGATACAGTTTGCCTGCCTATTCAAAGTGGGGGTCTTGGTATGAAAAGACTTGCGACTTGGAATAGGTGTCTTCTATTTAAACATATTTGGGATATTCTAAAGGGCAGAAATACTATGTGGGTTTCTTGGATTCAGTCTCACTGTGTTCGGGGACGTAATTTCTGGGTTATCAAGAAGAGGAATGAGTGGTCATGGATACTCCGGAGCCTTTTAGACTTAAGATCTCATTGCCGGAGATTCTTTATCTACAATGTGGGAAATGGTTTATCTACGCATGCTTGGGCAGATACATGGAGCAAGTCGGGTCCTCTCATTCAATCCCTGTCTTATAGATTCATTAATGGCCAGGGATTTCACAATAACTCCACGGTATCTGATGTAATGCAACGATTTGGTACTAATTGGCCGGTGGATTGGTTTCAACAATATCCTCAGCTGCAGAGTGTTCTGATTCCGTTTCCCAGTCAAGTGGAGGATAAGGTCAGATGGCTTGATAATAAACTTTCTCGGGGCGATTTTGAGGTAAAATTGGCTTGGAAAACTATCCAAGAGGTGAAGCCGGTTGTGCATTGGTATAAACTAGTTCGGAATAAAGCATACGTTCCTAAACATGCTCTTTGCATGTGGATGGCTTGTCAGAAGAAATTGCCAACTCAAGATCGTATAAGTCAGTGGAAGCATGAACCGCCGGATTTAAAGTGTGTGTTTTGTAAATTAGTGATTGAAACGCACAATCACTTATTTTTCGAATGCAATTACTCAAGCAGTATTTGGGAAGTTATTAAAATGGATGTGGGATTAACGAACTGTCCAAACAATTGGGAGGATATCCTTCATAGAGGGTCCACTCAAACTTGGAAATCTTGGTCTACGGTTCAAAAACTTGGTATATCAGCAACGGTATATAATATCTGAAGGGAACGGAACAGGAAGTTCTTTGACAATTTCAATCATTCGGGGGATAAAGTTATTGAGGAAATCAAGATGCATATTCTTCATTGGATGGCTTGGAAGACAAGGAAGAAGCTAATGAATTCCAATGTTATGTGATTACGTGGGTGGTGTGCCTTCTCGGTTTTGGATCTTATGGGTTTTTCTTGCCTTTTGCTTTTTGGCTTATGGTTTTCTTATGTTTTGGTGTAATTCCCTTTGTCATTTTTGGCTCCTTATGACTTGGTTTGTGAGTCAAAGTTGYCGTAGTTTTTCTTSTTGATTGCTTTGTATCGGTGACGCTTTTTACTGTCTTTATAAAATTGCCTAGGGAAACTCTTCCCCTTTCAGTACTTTAATACAACTGAAACATAAACCTAACATTCTCTTTTACGCTTATAGAGTAGTTCATATTCTTTGTATTGTAAGATTTTGAATACACTTTTTACACACATAATTAATAGATATTTGTTGTGAGTCACATAAATCTCAGTCCATTCAAGTGTAATCATTCTTCAGTCAATACAAATAAATGATGACTATAATATCCTTATGATATTGTTCTTATTTATTGTTTACTGTTTTTGCCTTACGTAGATCTTAATTTGTGCTTTCGCACATATCCTTTCAAATAGATCTAAAAATGGAGAAATATGGAAGCAACACAATGCAACAACTATAGGAGATGACTTGTTTTCTAACTAATCGTTCAACACAAAATGCATGACTAAGGGTAAAATATGGTCGTAACAAATATGTTCTTTTGAATTTCTACTTGTAATACTCATTTTGACATTCATAACATAATTAGCATAAATCGTTAAAAGGTGACTGGTATTGAAATGTAGAATTCATGGATAGCTCCCTTTCATTCATTGATTTGATTTTTGGTGAAATGCTTGTTTTGATCATGATCACGGTCATTTATAGGGTGAGATGTGTGACAAAAGAATAGTGGTTCCAATGAGAACTGGAAAACATAATATGCAAAGCTCGGTGATCTTCCACCAATATATGGACTTTGTAAGTTGAACATCTGGTCTTAGATCATAAATGAGCATTTGAGATATTATTCGTTGGTAGTGAAACTTATTTCTTCTTGGATTTTTATGTGCTAGTGTATGGATGTCGATTAGTTTGGAGAAGAATGTTACATCAGTTTGTTAAAGGTTTGTTCTACATCTTAGTTTAACTAATTCATTAGATAGTGTAGTGCTCGTTGATTTTTAGTTTTGGAATCAAAAGTTCACATTTCCTAATGATTTGGGACATGAAAGGTGCATGATCCCACTGTTTGGCTTTTAATTTAACTAGTGTGGGAACCGTGAGTTGCACTGTAATATGAGTATTTTGGTTAATTATCCGAAGATTGTCTATATAAATATATGTTAATTGTTAATACAATCATCAACAAATATATTCAAATAGTTCGAAAAAAACTAACAAAATCTAATTAGTGAAATTTTGATAAATATATATATATATATATAGAGAGAGAGAGAGAGAGAAAGAGAGAGATTTGTTAAAGAATAAAGTTGTAAAATTAAATAAAATGAGTAATAGTAACAACTGGGGTGTGGATAACTTACGCATTGTTTGTCTGATTGATGATGAAGTTTATTTCTTTTTAAAAAGAGGATGATGCCTCTACCGATTTTTATTAAAAAAATAAGTGTACGTCTAAATCGCACGGTAACTAATTATATGTACAAAAAATGTGGTAGATAGAAACTTAGTCTATAAATAATATGATAAGATATTAACCGATTATTAATACATATAAATTACTATAAAGAATAATTCATTGTTAGAAGACGAATGATATCTACAAATAAGAAAAACAAATATTTCGTCCGTCTCAAAATAAATATCCATGTTTCTATTTTAGTTTATCCCAAAGTAAGTGTTCACTTTCAAAAATTAATGTCTAATTTTCAACTCTAGTATTAATTATGAGATAAAGAATTCATTAATCTCACGATTATAAATGATAAAATTGTGATAGAGTTAATGGCAAATTGCATGAAAAAGTAATGTACTTTAACTTGATTCCTATTTTGGATAACATATTTTAAAAACTTTTGTGATAACCAGATCTTGGTTATCACTTGAGGTAACTAATACATGATAATATATTATGTGCTTATGTGATAGCATGATAAACTAATATATTTGATCACGCGAGTATGTGTAAATTTTAAGCATAAATAGGTATGCATAATGTGAATATGCATAACTAAAAATATGTTATATGCATGAAGTATGATAAATGCATAAATATTTTGTTGGGTTCAAGTATGTGCGTTAAATATTGTATTCAAGTTCTCCATTTTAATATGCTTTGTAATAGTTAGGTTTAATGTTTTCCTTAGTATAAATAGTCATTAGCCTTGTAATTGTCATTAACTTTTGTAACTTCTGAGATTAGTGCTGTAATTGTGATTAGAAATTCTCTCAAGAAA